GCAGATGCCTGTGTGCCTTGCAGCTTACCGAGCCTGGTGCATGACGACGACTGCGTTTGGTGGCACTTGCCCTTGGTTGCAGTCGGCGCTGCATGCGTGATGGTGGCCGGCGGTGTTTTCAATGCATACATGCGGGCGAAAAGGAGGGTGAGGATTGACAAGGTCAAAAGCTCCCTGTACCAGGACCTCTGGAATGAAAACGCCGACACCATACCGCAGTATACTCGGGCGTTGACCAAGCTGGGCATGAGAATGACCGACATCAAGAGCCACATCGTAGAGGTGAGGGCTGTGCACAGCAGAGTTGCGGGTGTCAGCATGAGGTACCTTCTGTCGGAAGGCTTTGCTCAGCTGGCCAGGCAGCGAACTGGCCAGTCAGACCCCAGCTTCATGGACATGAAAAGTGGCTTCGGAGTAGAGTAAGCCACCTTCTAACCATTCTTGGGGTATTGTCACCCTAATATATTCAAAGGCTGAACCTTTAGATCGCCTAGTTTTCTGGGAAAGTAAGGTGGCTTTTGGCTTACCGACAATGCAATAGGACGAGACCTGCGCTGCCCACGAGACGGTCGCCTGGGCTGTGCATTGGTTGACTGGATTCCACGAACAGAACGTCATGAACAGACTCATTTTATGTCATGGACATGGCAGTACCGTTTATCGCAGATTACGAGTGCTCTGCGGAGCTACAGGCCAGAGGCGCCCCCGGAAGAGGTCTTCTTTTTCATGTGCTTCTTCACGAACAACCAATTCCGTATCATTGTAGAAGGGACCCAAGAGGGAAGCTCAGACCTGGAAGTCGTCTTCGAGACCAACCTGGTGCGGATCGGAAGCTTGGCAACCGAATTAGTAACTTTTAGTATGGCTAACGTAAACTCCCATAAAAGTGAACACTTAAGCTTTTTTTTGGGGGTGGATGAAGCCGGTGGCTGAGGAAGGATGGTTGCAGTGCTCGACTCCTGGCAGGAGCCTGTCTATCTGTCACGAGTCTGGACAGTGTATGAACAGTTTGTCGCTTCCAAGCTGGAGATCCCGGTGGTGCTTCTTAGCAGTAGAGTATGCAGCCTTTCACTGTTTTGATGTGGGGTTAGGGTTTAGGGTTTAGTACAGAGTAAGTGACCTATAACCTTTCGCGGGTTATGATTCCAGTGGTTCACCTTCAATTCCCTCCAGGATATTGGACGATCGAGGTTCATCATGCCGGGAGAAGCCGCTTTGTCCTTACAGCAGACTGTTGAAGC